GTGAACGATAATTTTGGAGAAGTTGTATCGCACATGGGATGGGAATATGTTCCAGAAATTTGAGCTTCATATCTTCATCAAATGCTAGGTTGAAAATGGACAGCAAAAGTACGGACACACACACACACACACATGTCATACACAAACACACACGCATATGCACACATAGGGTCTCCCGTCAGTTTGCGTTTCTTCATTTACATAAGCATGCGAAAACGCGTAGCTGAGATTTTGTCAAAATTTTTTTCGCCCATCTTGGAAATAATGTATTTAACTGGAGTTTCAAGTTGCACTTGCGCCATGCCTTGGAGCACGTCAAAGATATTTGTGGCGAAATGGCGATTCCACGTACCGAGTTAACTGCGAAGCTAAAACTTTGCAGGAATATTCTGTATTTGCATATGGTCTAAATCTAGTCTGAAAGAGGAATTCCCTGCATTCGAAAGTGATAATTGTTCAGTTTCATCGCAACCTCAAAAGCGAGAGCATTTTGCAGATTTCGTAAACCTTCTCTTCGATGTCCTTGTGCACTGCCAAGTTTGCGTTTCTTGGCGGGTGACCGTTCGCCAAAAACTGTTCATTTATCTTCATGCAAGATTGGCAGTCATGCACGCTGGCACTTTGTGCTGCCCCACGATTCAACGCTACCATCCTTGCTGAGATCCTCTTCCCCATGCACGCAAAAAAAGTTCAAAGCACAGCCAACATGAGTCTGTGTGTAAACTATAATGCAGAAGCCATTCGTACTGTTAAGTGGTTTGATTGCTGGAAATTTAGCGCAAAAACGCATAATCGCACCGGCATACCTAGCAGTGCGTTGCAGCCTGGGTTCTTTTTCACAAGACACATTTTTTGTTTAAAAAGATAAAAATATACGTAGTATTGCTTACGCTCTCTTTAAATGAGCAAAAAGTTGGGACGCGTTACAATGAAGACAATCTGTAGCTGCTTGCCTGAAGGGTCTGGCGTTCTTTGCTACACACTGCCTAAGAAATTCGAGTACATAGCCTTTTTTTTCTCTTTCTGAATTTCCGGCAAGCGAATCTACAACTTTGACCAGTGAGATCCATCAAAACTGCAACAGGAAAGGTGCATTCTGATTTTGCCTCTTCACGGCAGATATGAACGAACTATTTGTCGCATGGTGACGAGAAGGAAGTTTAAGCTTCAATCCATTCAAATATCCTTCTTGTCACTTTCGGAATCCAGTTAATCAACTACACTTTATTCACGCCGTTTCCAAAAAGAAATATAACCAGTAGCGTATTGACCAGAATCACAAAACAATCCAACCAGACAACTAGAAAAACCAGGAAAAAAAACTCGAAAGAAAAAAAGAAAAACTCTTTTCCTCCAAAAACTTGCATTTAAATCCTACCGTGGCCCCACCCTCATTTATTAGGGGCCTTACACGTTCACCTCTAGGAACCTGTCCAGTTGATTTCCCTTGAAAATTTACCTTTTTCGTTCTGAATTCTTAAATTCTGCAGAAAAATGGCGTAACATGATCCGGTCGGCACTGAATTTCTGGCAGCGTGAAACATGCGTTCGTTGGGAGGAAAATGGTGCTGGTCATGATCGCGTCGTGTTTTTTCGCGGAAGCGGGTTTGTTTGTTTTGGCAGTGTTCGGTAGAGGCATAGATTCTAGATGAATTTTCAGCTGTTTTTCCATCGCAGCGCTTTTTACAACTTTGATATGAAGTGTTGTTTCATCGCTCTTTTCCCTTTCGCCATCTTATGCA